CCCTAGGGCATGTCCATGTGCTAAACTTTCCTTTTCCTGCAGAGTGAGCAAGCACCTAAGGCAAGCAGGTCTTGGTGGTGCCTGTGAGAACAGTCATGGACACTGGATGAAAAAGTGCCCCAGAGAACATGGATGATTGTGCAGTGCAGGATCATGGGTGGCCTGTGTTTAATATAGGCAGACAGACCAGCTATTTGGCTTGCATATACACAGGGAAATTGTGGCAGAAGTAGGAGGTGACTAACCAGTCATTTATGCGTTTGCTGGAATTTTAAAATATTACAGCAAGTTTGCAGAAAAGAAATAAAACTTCCAGTAATTCCGTGTAACACGAGAATTGCTGCTGACCCTGACTATCAGGAGGAAGAGCCTGTCATTTCTAGGCTATATACAACACCAAATCTCTCTCTCTTTATTCCATACTCTGGATGGCTCAAACTTGTCTTCTGTCAAGAGGTCTGCAATAAAATCAGCCTCTGCAGAGGCAGTCATTCACCTCCAGGTCCAATTCTTCATGGGTCAGACAATCCAGCAGCTCCACATGGGACCTTAATAAAACATTCCAGGAAAACTCCAGGGACAGACAGTCATTAAAGGCTGTTAACAGCACCATAATTAAAAACAAATTAACAGGAAATCTGAAATCGCCTGAAGAATTGTTCGTGTCTTGTGTCACATCTCATAAATCTCAAATTACCTTTGAAATTTGACTTAGTATTTCAGAATAGCTGCAAGATCAACAAACCACTGCAAAGTAGTTAAAAATCTACAAAATTTGCTTCCTTAGCACTAAGACCAGAGGATATCTCTGACAGTCTGAATAGCACTGACGCTCTTAAAACTCTTTATTTACTTCAGAGGAAAGAAATAGCACAAGGGAAGATGGTTCAGTAGCTGCAGCTGTATTTGTACTGAATATTTCTCCAGCATGACTGTTGCTTTCTGATGAACTGGAAACCAGTTAACCCCTTTTAGCCAAAGCATCCTTCCTGTCACAAGAAGTGTTAGCTATTTTCTGAATCCTCGTTTAGATGGATGTTTATTACAAGACCTAGATAATGAATTGAAATGAAAATTTCTTCCAAAAGAATATGCGTTGAACTTACCAGCATTTTAGAAAAGGCTATGCTTAAAGATTTAAAGGATTCCTTCTTATATTAATATATTTTTAATAATGCTGAGACAGAGGAACTATATATGATTTTGACTCCATAGAGAACATAGGACTTGCTTCAAAATTAATTACGAATGTATAGATATGTGCTAATAAAAGTACAGGCATCTATTGTGTGCTAAGTAATTTAGAAGACAATGATAGTATTTTGTTTTGAAGCAAAACAAAACTTAAACTCAGTGTGTCAAAATGGCTGTATTTTCCTTAAAAGCCTGATGTTATCAGATATTTTATTAAAAGCTCAAATCCTATGGAGAAGTAATTACATGATGGACTCAAATTTTACTTAAAAACAATTCAACTGGTTTTATTGCAACTTCTGCCTGGCTGCAGAGAAAAGCTTGAAAATGTTTCCCAAGTGTATTCTATAGACTCCAAACCCGAAGTCAAATAAAAGAACCCATAGATAATAGACTTTAAAATTCCAGGTCTTTTGTGAACTCATCTTCAGCTTTTTTTTAGGGCTGACAATCCTGCTTTCTTAAGAAAAAAAATCTAATAATTTACATTATCAAAGAATGTCAGAAAATATAACTTGTCATTTTTGTCAGCTTGCCAGTTTTTTATCACTGTTAGTAGTGCAGTTTCTCTTACTGTATTAGTTAGACTAAAAAATTCTTTAGCAAGTTGTGGGTTATTTTTTCCCCTTGTACACTAACTTTTTTGTTTAGTCTACAAAGCAGTTATCAACTACACTGTGTCATGTAAAGCCCAGCAATTTCCTTGAGTTATTTTCTCTTCCAAACCTGCACGCCTGAAATTAATTTCTGCTTTCTGCCAGGCTGTGTGGACACAGGTCAGTGTTTTTTCCTGGCCCAGACACCTAAGAGCAGCCCAAAGGAATTGATCTATCCTCGCAGCACAGCACAGCATGGGCCAGGACAGGGAGGCAGGCAACGCAGAGAAAAGCAAAGTGAAAAATGTTTGAACAAAACCTGTCCAGGACACCAACGGATAAGGGACTATTTTCGTTCAGAATTTTAGTTCCTCAGATGTCCAGATGAGGCCACTGTTGTTTTACTATCTCGATTTCAAGAAAGAGATTTAATTTGCTTACCTCAGAGTTTTCCCGTCTCCACAACTACAAGTGTGCTCAATAGCCTGTTTTTCTGTTGGAGAACAAAGAAAAGGAAATGGTTATTTTTGTTTTATTTCACACAGCAGTTACGGTACTCGTGGAGGCAGGAAGGGAACCGGACAATGAGAGCTGCAGATGTGGAATTTCTTTTTTAAATCCCCTTTACTGCTGCTTGCTGCCTGCCAGGCAGGGGAGATACAGCAGTGCAATAGCAGGAGATGCTCTGAGGCTGAAGCAGAGCAAGCATTTTTCTTTGAAAGAGATCCCCGGGTGAAGCTTTCCCACAATAGCCCAGCCCAGACTGTACTGGGCTGTGTCACAGGCTTAGTTTCAAATGGACAGCGTGGTGCAAAGCCAGGGAGGGGTGCAGAGCACTTTGGCTGAGTCACACTGTTAGGAAACAAGGATTTCTGTGGTGAGAGGCCAGATTGGGCACTGCCAAGTCCCCAGGCAGTGAACTCCAATGTGTTTTGGAGATGAGGATGACGTTCTCATCCAAAAATATCTGGCCAGCCATGGGGGCAGGCTGCAACTACAGGAAGACTGTGTTTCCTTTGTGTTTTGTTTTTGTTTCTTACTAAAATGACCTGCAGAAGGAAAGGCTCTGAAGTGACCGTGGGGCTGTGGTCACAAGTAGGAGCCCAGTCAAGGGGAGCAATGCCAATCTCTGAGTAGAGCTGTGGCAGGTTCCTCATTCCAGCAGTGAGACTAAAAGAAGGGAAATTCCTAACCTTATAAATGCTCTCTAAAAAGCGTTTTTCTTCTTGCCTTGTTCAAATCCATGGAGGATCTCTGATAATAGGAGCATTTTTAACACCAGCTGGGCTGACAACCCAGAGACAGAGCTCATGAGAGGCTCTTGCTTTTGCTTCTCCTCCTGCTTGGGCTGAAGGACCACATTTTAGGCTTACACCCCCCATCATGCAAGGCACAATCAAGTCCGAGTTCAGCCAGCTGCTGGGTTTCCTCCACTGAGGGCTCCTCTGCCTGCAGCGGCAGGGTTCTCTCTGCCAATCTGGGCAGCATGTGGGAATGATGGTTAACAAGACTCAGACCTTATGACTGTAATGGCATTTAATATAACGTTTGCAAACGGACAAATATTGGCAAAAAGTGCTTGCAAGGGAGGGATCTATGACTCACAGTCAGGCTGCCAACCCGCTCTAACCGAACAGATACAACTGACCTCAGCCCTTTCAGGCTTGCCCAGGCACTTCAGGGAGTGCAATATTTCTGCCTCAGGACCAGTTGGCAGACCTGTTAAAGCACAGGTTTTAATTGTGTGGCTCACTTAGCTTGCCGCTATCTTGTGCTACTCACTGTGGTCCTGACCGCTTTCCTCAGCTGTCAGGGATGCCTCCTCTCTCCCCTTTCTTCCCAAGTGGATGCAGCTCTATGAAGGACCTAAAGCTCAAAGGAGACTGAGTGGTGTTTGTCAGTAAGAAAGGACTGTGGGGATTGATTCCAAAGAGGTTGCTCCTGTCCTTTGACTCCCATCTGCAGGTTCTTGCATAATCCCTTAACATCTGAGCTGACGCAAGGTTTTAAGGGGAGGATCTCTGAAATGAGGTGGTAAGGGAGGGTATACTCATCACCACGGATCATCCAATGGAGAGAAAAAGCCCTGAAAGTCTTGTACTGTGTGTTGCAATTTTCACCTAATTTAAATGGTGCCTAAAGTTTTTGCAGATCCTTTTTAGAGTCCCTTTGAGTTTAAACTCACTGCATGCATATTCCTGTAGCAATACAATTTCCTTTCACCAGTAGAGCTTGCTTCAGCTGTTGTTGGGTATTATTATACCTCACTGCTTCCTTCCTCTCCCATCAGTCCCTCTATCTCAGATCTAAATGTCATTTATAGTTCAAGCTCTTTGACTGCTAGTCCCCCTGTACCCCAGAACAGCCCAGAAAGACATGAAAGTTCACAGGGAAAGGGATATCAAGAGGGTCTATTTTCTGGAGCACAAAAGAACCAGACCCCAAAAATCTGGTTGATAGGTGTGAAATTAGCACCAGACATTTAGGACAGAGCAATTTGGGCAGAACTGTGAGGTATGACTGCTCACATTTGGCAACGTGGGTAGCAATCATCCAAGTGGGCGCAGATACCACTGGAAAATGTCACTGCTGCAGGGAAGGTGATACTCTTTCTGCAAAGTAAGAGGACTATCCTCACCACAAAGGGGATATAAAAGGTAACACCTTTTGAGAGTGGTTTTTTCCTTTTTTAGATTTTCTTTTTTTACTAAACAGAAAGAAGGACTGACATAACAAGTCAGCATTACTAGTGTTTTTGCAGCGTGCAAAATTTTCCAGTAGACTAGTAACTACTTCAGTGAAATCAGGAACATCAAAATAAAAAATATTATGAAAATGTCCTTTAAATCTGAATCTAAATGACGGCTTCTTTGCTTGTTTTCTTCTTTAGCTTGCTTGTTTGTTTTTTTGAAGTCACTCTTGTTAATTGTCCTGCAGCCATGGTATGTACCAGATAGCCAAGAAAGCTGACATGGTGAAGTTATATACAGCATCCTTGTGACCTTTTTGCAGTGAAGACACATATCTGTCCAATAAAGCCCAGGCCAAATGACAGTGACAGCTGTCTTGTGGCATTCAGTTTGAATTGAACAGGTTTGCTCGCAAGTCAGGAGCAAGTATTTCATTACAGACTCTGCACCAAGATCAACATAAGCCCCCAAAAGTGAAACTTTCCCTCAGCAGCTACGGAAACTGCCCTGGTGGACTGAGATGCACTTCACAGGCTCCTCCTTTTCTCCTTGCTTTGACTTTCCCACCTCCTGCAAGCTCTCATCCTCTGTTGGCATTTGCATATTGGTGTAGCACTTGCAAGGGAAGAAAACCTCACTTCTCTCAGGAGGGAACCAGAGTATTATGGGAACTGAGCACTCAAAGAACAAGAAGCGAAGGAACATGGCTTTTCTTAAGAAAAGTCCAAAGTTGCCTGCATGGGAAGACGCCCTTCTCTCAGGGAGAGAGCCCAAGTCACTGCTGAAACAGGGATTGCATTATGTCAGCTTGAGCCTCATGATGAAAGGGATGACCAACACGCCTGACTTCTTGTGGGGACTGCACGAGGTGCAGAAGCTGAACCTTTCACACAACCAGTTGGTGGTGATTCCTCCTTTGCTGGGGAAACTGGACAGGCTGGTACTGCTGAACTTGGGGGGTAATTGTCTCAAGAATCTGCCTAAAGAAATCGGGCTGCTGAGGAACCTGAAGGTCTTGTTTGTCAATATGAATTGCCTGACAGAAGTGCCAGCAGAGCTCAGCTCATGCAGGAAGCTGGAGGTTCTGAGCCTCTCGCACAACCGCATCTCACAACTGCCTTCGAGCTTCACTGACCTGAGAAGTTTGAGGAAATTGAACCTCAGTAACAACCGCTTTGTGCAAATTCCCATCTGCATTTTCGCACTGAGGAGCTTAGCTTTCTTGCACCTAGGGTCCAATAGGCTGGAAAACATCTCAGAGAGTATCCAGTATCTGGTCAATCTGCAGATCTTTATTGCGGACAATAACAACATACGCAGTCTGCCACGGTCTCTCTGCTACATCACCACTCTAGAGTTACTAAACGTTGATTACAATTGCATACAGACTCTCCCTGATGACCTCTACCTTTTGTACCGGCTGCGCCGCATTGCCTGGAACCCAATGGATAAAGGCCTCCATGTCACCCACAACCCCTTGTCCCGGCCCCTGCCCGAGGTTGTCGAGGGGGGCCTGGATGCCCTCTTCAGCTACCTCAGGGACAAAAAGGAGCGCAACTGAGCTTCTGCTGATCTTGGGATTAAGCCTGTCATCAAGACTCTCTCATCAGAGACCTTTCTGCACAGGCATTTCCACTTCATAACACTTGGATTTCGAAGGCTGTGGATGGCTTTAGTAACAGTTGGAGGAAAGCAAGTAAAGTATGATGGTCTTGATTAAGTGTGTGAAGAGCAAACTTTCTAAAAATAGCCACCTCTGTAAGCTTCAGTGTTAGTGTGTTTGGGTTTTTTTAAGAAAGAAACACAAAAACAAACTCGTGATAAAATGTTTATTCTTCACTTGACAGAAACAAATTAAGGCAGACTGCCAGACAGGCAGAAACGTGTATTTGACAGCCATTAGGTTGGAGAAACATTAAAATAAATTGGATTTACTATATGTGATTGCAATTGCATTTTTATTCCTGCTCACTTCTTCATACACAGGTAGACCACTACATAAACAAACACTGTCATCTAAGTGAATCTCAAGGAAAATGTTTGCTTTTGGCAGTGAATACATCCTGAGCTATATTAGCTCACAGACAATATATTACTGGTAATAATATTTGTTGTTTACCATTTGTTGTTTACCCCACAGCTGTGCTCTGACCTCTATAAATTACAGGTAAAGATTGCTGTTGATGAGGTGATATTTCCCAGTTCTTTGGAAGAAGATGTCAAACTTCGCAAAGCAGAGAAAAGACAGTGGGTTCTTCCCTCAAACGAAGGATAGAGTTGCTCATTGCTAGATGTACAACTGCTCTCCATTCCCTTTTCCGCCTCCCTTTAATCAGAGCTGTGGAGTAACTTTACTCAGGAGGCAGTACATCTCCTAAAGGTGAAATATTTCTTTCAGTAAAAGTAGCATCAAACCAGTCATCACCTTAAGTAAGAGCTTCAAAAACAAGTAGTTATTTCTGTGATTTTCCGTATAAGCCAGTACCATAAAGTCAGGTCTTATGTGGTTTCTCATATTGATCTTCTGTGAATGTCCTTCATCAAAGTTTTATCTGGTAATAAAGAGGCAGTATGAAAGAGCTGTTAACAATTTATGCAACCTGGGTTTTTTTGTTCCCTGACACCAGTGTAAAACAGAAGCAGCTCTGATGAAATCGGTTGAGATAAATGCTTGTAATAGCAGCACAGAAGAGGAATGAGACTGTAATTCTTGAGCTAATTAAGAGTATTCAAAGCCATTTTTAAAGTGCTTCCTATGTCAAATCTCAGGATTCAATGATTACTTTCTAAAATATAATTTGCTTAAAATTATGGAAGGCTGTGAAAAGCTGATCCTGCTTCTAGTGAAGTTAAAGGACAAGCCCTGGCTGAGGGAAAAGCTCCTCAGCAGAGCTAAGAGCAGCCTGATAACAGCAGAAAATTATGTAATTCACAGGTCCATGCAAATAAACACAGCACCTTTGGCAACGCTAACATTATGGGTTGGGTATTGGATGCTAGCAATGAAGAATGCTCACAGAATATTCCATTCTGGGTCTGCCTGCCCTGATACTTTGTTGTGTTGGACTGTTTTTTGTATGGTCTGTCATTCTAATTGAGGATTTCAGTGTTAGGCTCAGGAATCACAGTATCCACATGTGCAGTCAAGAACAAATCTCATGTTTCTAGCAAACATGAAACCTTTTTGAAGGGCACATTTGCTCAAGCATTAAGCAAACAAACAAAGCAAGAAAACAAATACCACAGCACAGTTATTTTATGACTTTTTATTTAATGTATGTTTCAAATGCAAAGATATTGTATGTGTAGCTTTACATGTATATATTTCACCCATGTGATGAGATTTAAAGCAAAGTTCCAAGTTCTGAGTGAACAATGCGTTTAATAAATTAATATGTGATTTCACTAGCAACAAGAAGTAAAACTGCAATTATTTATAGAAATACCAACAGATAATTCTTGGAGAGGATTAGGCACAGATTATTAACTTTTCTAAATGTCCATTTCATATCCCTAAGTCTGGCATTCACATAAACAGTGCGATATTGCTTTGCAGGAAAATGAGATGCCTATGGCATTAATCACCTGAAAAGATTTTCCACATATCAGTATCCAGGATTATATGACACTAGATAGCCTCTGATGTGATCTGACTAGGAGAGGTATGCACAGTAATTTACATGGAATATGTGAGGCTGGTCTGTGTGTTCATTAGGATACCACTACAAGGGTGAGAAAGAGTGCAGAGTGAGAAAGAAAATGGTCTCCAAACAGGGGATTAAAAGGCAAATTTGACATAATCAAATGCATCCGGAAAAGCAGTTATAATATGAAGTGCAATACCAACAATTTAAAATTCAATTATTCAATTGAATAATAATAACCTTTTACTCAAGCTAATAAACCTCTGTAAGCATACAAAACACGTAAAAGTGACTGTCATTCTAAACAGAATAATAAAATTGATTGAATAAATGGTACTTTAATGTATAATTCAGATTTTACCATTAGGAAAATAATTTCTACTGATCTGGTTTAATTTTTCTTTCATTCCTCAATCAAGACTCTCATAAGTACTTTTCTCAGAGATACAGAAAATGATCTCACAGGACTGAAGGTAGTGTTCTGAATTCTTCTTGTAAAAAGAAAAGACTGTATATCACTGTTAAAGTATAGAAATATGCAAAAAAGGCAAATAAAGATATAGGTATTTGCACCTGAGAGGGATCAACATAGAAAAAGCGAGCAAGGGCACAAGAGGGAGATAAAATGCATTATGTCAAATGCTGGCTCTAGTTTTGAGCAGGGCATTAGAAAGGAATTGGTGGATCTCAGAGTTGTCATCTGCTATTAGTTGTGCAGATGACAGGGAAAAAAGGAACTGAAACACTGCAGGAACTGTGGTCATATCTCATAATATATGACAACAGTACCACTTCTATATATATCAAATTACATGAGTTTAATTTTATAATCTTTCAGAGAACTGTATGCCAAACATTACATTTGTTTCTAGTACACACTGAAGTTGACTCCTTCCTAAGTCTTAGAGCAGCACAATTTTTGATGCATCTATTATTTTTTTGGTGGTGGTACTCTTAGAGGAATGGAAAAAGTGGGATCCACTCATGGAAAGGATACTTTTTAGGCAGGGTGACTTTTCTATGGCTTTCACTCAGAGAAGCTCTGAAAGTGCTTAGAAAAACTCTTAATGTGAATGAAACAAAGGGCAAAACCAAGAACAAACTAGAAAGAACACAGTCAGGGGTCAAATGGTTGGGATAAATGTAATACACAATAGGACTATACGATTTGTTGCTCAATTCTCATCAAATACACTGGTGGTACATTTGAAAAGAAAGCTACATTCATGAAAAGTTTAAAGTCTAGTCAACCAGCAAAGCCTTTGAAAACTGGAAGGTCAGGTTTTTGGTCTAACCCCAGTTAGTGTTTCAACCTTTGACTGAAAGAAAAACATTTTCATCTGAAGTATTGCTGTAATACCTCAAAGGAAGTTAAAGCTGAAATGTGTTGTACCTACTTCTCTGGGGCTACTGGGCAATTCTGGCACATTGGCAAATGTCTTCATGCCACTTGTGACTGGTAACTTCCCCAAATCCATTGCCATGTCCCAGCAGCCCGGTGGGACAACTGAGGGCATGTAACTTGGCCAGGAACACCCGCCCATTACATGAGCAAAGCATCAAGAACCTACAAAGACCAATTTCCAAGATATGGAAAATTTCCAAGATGTGAACTGAAGAGGCATTTCAAAACAGAGCTTTTCAGATTCCAGCTGAAACCTCTTGCAATTCAGATTTAAAAAGTTTATGATTATTAATTTTGTTGAAAAATATGTTTAATTTTTTTGCCAACTTGCCAATATTTTCTCCATACTTTTTTTTCATTTTCATCAAAATTCTTCTGCTTTTTGTCAACCCCCAAAACAGTTTCTAGGGGTTTTTTACTGTAAGAATATGCATTCTGCAATTTAAACTTTTTAGTATACAAATGAATAAATTTCCTATTACTACACTATAGCTTCAGGAAACCATGTCTTTCAGTTAATATTTTTAAGTCATCATTTCGGTGAAGGAGGATGCACCTAAAAAATATTGCACTGATTCTGGAGAGACTTGAATTAATTATTTACTTTGCTAGGCCAGTACATTACTTGAAAAAACATGCCACAGCACATAATTTCTGCAAGTAGAAAAATCATTGATGCTTCAGCTTATTTCTTTAAACAATGAAATAAAAAGCCTCAAAGGTCTTCACCACGTGAGAGATAAATAAAAGTAAATAAAGAGTGATAAAGAAAGCAAGCAAAGAAAATGAACTAATCATCTGCTCAGTATGGTTTCACTAAATTTCAAGGATAAATTTGCTGCACAGTCTTCAGACAGCAGTTCTTGAGTGATTCAAGGAGCGTTTCAGACTGCCTTGCACAGTTCTACAAAGTATAATTGATATGCATAAAAATAATTCTATGAAAATAACAATATATATAATAATTTGTAAAATGTTAAGAAAATAAGCATATTATTATGTCACATGTGCTTCTGCAGTTCTCACATGTGGGAGCTGATATCCTGAAATAGTTACAGCTGAAGGCAAACTTCTGGCTGTAGAAGGGCCTTCATTTATATGAGAATATATACTTTTCCCATTTTATATGTGGCAAAACCAAGATTTAAAAACTCAGTAGATGTTTAAATTTGCATAAGGCTTCAGATGTATTCGTACAGAGGTACACTTAAATACTCACATGTGGAGTAAGTCTGAAAATCTTTTTATAAAATTGCATGATTCTTCCTCTGTACAAGTAAGAGGTGGAATAACAATTATAAAAGATTCCCCTCCCCCACTGATTCCTTGTATTTATCTGTGGTGTAATAAGGGCCAACCAGCCTTCAAAAACCATCCCTTATTGCTGGCTTCTGCAGCCCAGCAGTACCGACAGCATCCTGCACCAGTACAGCCACCTACAGTATGGGATTACTTTGCAGGGTTTAATGACAAAACCTGAAATTTGTACTCCAATATATGTGGAGTCACATC